GCAAACATCCCAAGGCACCAGAGAATCTGCCTCCACCTTCCTTCCTCCTACTGCCCAGGGGCTGTCAGTCTTACTCACTGACTTCCGGATCTTCTATGGGTGGTAGGGAGGGATGTGCCATTCATACTTCAAAAAAGATGGTGGGTGCATTCCCCCACACTCAAGCCATACATCTGTTTCTGTCCCAAATTATTTCCCTAAACAGCAGAGCTGGGCCCCTACTAGGAAAGTGGGTGGGGCCTCCAGAGTCCAGAGTTTGGGTCTGCTGGAAACCAGGAGGGTATTTCTTTGGCTCTCCCATGAGGAAGAAGTACCAGCCTGATTTCTAGGAACATGTATGGAATGGCCATACCCAAAGCTAATCTCTAACACCCCGAGTCTGCCTATGTTGCTGTCTCCTCAGCAGGGGTTAAGATGTAGGGTGGGGGGAAAATGATGCAGGGTGGAGCGAACAGAAATCCAGAGGGTAAGGCAAGCAAGACTCCAGAAGACAGGGTGAGCAGGATTCTACAAGATGGGCTGAGCGGTGTCCCACAGGGTAAGGTAATGTTTTTTCCCTTGGGAGGACCTTGGTCTTCTCCAAAAACCGGCTGCTGTGATACTGCGAGATGCCCCAGCAGAGGGATCCCAACAGACACGACCCACATCGCTCTCCAATGCCTAGTACTCCAGGCTCAGGTGATTACTCCAGGCTCAGGTGGTACCAACTCACACCACCCTCCCACTACCAGAACCTAAGGCGAGTGGCTACAAGTAAAAACCATGTTCTTTGGCACCTTAAAAAATAAATATATGTATATACTTGTATGCATGTGTACATACATAGACATGTAGACATGTAGACATGTATATGAGGCTCCAGTGGGCTCCAACTCTCCCTGGCAGATAGAAACCCCATGGCCTTTCACTGCTGGATGCTACATGGGCAGCTGACCCAAGCTCTGGCAGTCTGTGCTTACAAGGCCAGTCTGGTGGCCAGCCTTCACTCCTCTCAAGGGGCATCCATGTATTTTTAAGTGGAAAATCAAGAGGACCCAAAATGGTAGTGGGTAAGTGGAAGCTACACTAACCTTCTCTCTCCTGGGACCAATCTGGAATCACAACTACATTGTAAAGAAATAATCCTGAAAAACCAACTGAACAGTAGCTGGAGAGAAGCCTTATAACCAAGGACAAAGAGAAGAAACTACTTCACCACAACATGACTGTCAGGGAGTACAGAAGAGGTGTGAGAGGGCTGGCTAGGCTTCCCTGGGTGGCAGCTGAAGTTCCCAAGGGATATTTCAGCATACGGGTGTTTCCCCTGAGAAGTGTGCAGTCTTAACCCAAAGTTGGGCTTCCCAGCCTACAGCACCAGAGTCAGGAAAGGAACCCAGATAACATCCAGCTGTGAAAAGCAGCAGGCTACCTGTCTATCAGGGAGAAATGTCTGGACACGCAGACAGCCTCTTAAAGGGCCAATACACAAAATTCTGCTTGCAGCCGCTTAACCCTGGGCCTCAGCAGAGGGAGGGCAGAGTGGACCAGAGATGCATGAAGGGAATCTGGGGATGGTGCCTCTGAGAAATGAAGGAACGGCCACCAGGATCCCTGTGCAGTGTCATTCCCCATACTGTACAGGCCACCTTTCCCAGGCAGAGCACTTCCCTCCAAGTGGCATCAGCCTGAGGGGAAGTAGTAGCGTCAGTGGCAGAAATTACTCTGCCACATCCTGAGGAGCTTAAGGTGGGCTACTGAGTACAGCTTGAAGCTATATCTCTGACTAAGTTAAACTAAGGCATATCTCTTGGAGCTCTGAGACTTGGTTGAACCTCCCCCAGGCCCATTGCTAGTAAAAGCTGGTCTTGGTTGCAACCTGCTTCCTTCTGCACACGAACAGGCCCAGCAGAGGGAGCTACATGCCACAGATCACTGACAGCTCCAAACAGGTTGCCCAGGGCCAGTCACAAGCAGCATTTGACAAAGGTCTACACTAGAGTTTTGTAGATCTACCTAGTACGTAGAAACAAATACAAAGAAGCAGACAAAATTGGAAGACAAAGAAACAGACCTTAAAAGAATAAGAACAAGAGACTTAAAGAACAAGAAAATCCTCCAGAAGAACTAGATGAAATGGAGACAAGCAATTTATCAGATACAGTTTAGAGTAATGACTATAAGGATACTTAAAAGCACAAAGAAAGACACAGAAACCGTAAGAAAGGGCCAGTCAGAAATAAAAAATGCAATATATGAAATAAGTAATACATTGGAAGAAATAGACAGTAGGTTAGATAAAAAAGAGGATTAATCAAACCAGTGATTTGGAAGTCAAGGTGAAAAAAACATCCAAAACAGCAAAAAGAAAAAAGAATTTTAAAAAATGAAAGCCCTGGCTGGTGTAGCTCAGTGGATTGAGCGCGGGCTGCGAACGAAAGGGTCGCCAGTTCAATTCCCAGTCAGGGTACATGCCGGGGTTGCAGGCCAAGTCCCTCAGTGGGGGCCACATAAGAGACAACCACAAATTGATGTTTCTCTCCTTCTCTTTCTCCTTCCCTTCCTCTCTCTCTAAAAATAAATAAAATATTTAAAAAATAAAATAAAAATAAAAAACAAAGAGAGCTTAAGAAAAATTTTGGACAATATGAAGGGTAATAATATCTGCATCATGGGAATACCAACAGAAGAGAGAAAGTGAACACATTTGAAGAAATAATGACCAAAATTCAAGTAACAGAACAGAATATACAGTATGAGCTCATTTTTATGTTAGAAACAGCAAGAAGAAGTCTGGAAGAAAAAACAAAATCAACATTATTTATCTTTAGGAAGTAAAAGAACTAGTTTTTTTTTTAAGTTTTTTCTCTTTACATCATCCATTTTTAAATAATTTACTATAAACTCATATTACCTTTATCTTTATAATAATTACCTTTATAATAATAAAACAATAAAGATACTTCTTAAAAACATATATTTTAGCTCAAGTGTCTAAATTCCAAAACTAAAATGACAGCTCTTTGTGTAGCCTCATTGCAACTACAATATCCAACCATCAATGGAGACCAGAATTAAAAAGTAAACCTGAAGCTAAAAGTTAGACTGAAATATACAAGAATCACAACCTACCAGGAATGGAAGCCCACCATTGGAGCTAGCAAAGTAGTAGAAACATTTAAAGGGTAATTGATTAATTTCTGGAAACTGATCTTTAGACTAACTTGAGAGAGAAAAATCTCCTGGAGATCTAGTCATGAAATGGAGTAGGGGTCACATTTTCTTAAGTTTTAACTCCCAAAATGCCACCAGGTCCTTGGGGTAAATACTGGTGAAAAATCCCCACTTGCTTCCAGCAGAGAGAAGAGCAAAGTAATCATTTTGAATACCCTCAAAGCATTCTACCCTCAAGAAAAACTATTTACCATGGCCTAACCAATCTGAAAGAAGAGAAAAACCCAATACTAGATTTTTTTGTCTTAAGGAGATGAGGGTAGAAAGGGAGAGCTGAGAAGTAGTTCTGAAGGTCATAGCCCAGGGGCATTCTTCTCCCCAACACCTTGCATCACATCAGTAGAGAGTCTGTATAATAACAGGGGAATACAACTGAAAGAAAAACATGACTCAGACCTTATTTAAGAAGCCTTTAGGGAAATCCAAACACAACAGAGGAGACAAAAAAAACACTGGAGGAAATTTTAGTTTCTGACACCTACACTACCAGCAAATAATACGCACAGCCTGACTCAAACAAAACTTCACAGATAGGGCCTATTTGCTTCAGTTCCTAACCCGTTTACTGAACATATCCTGTCAAGCTTTCAAAACCACTATAAAGGCATACTAAAAGGCAAGAAAGCACAGTCTGAAGGGACAAAGCAAGTATCCAAATCAAACTCAGAGCAGAGATTTGGGAATTTTCAGACCAGAAATATTTGAAGCTTAAAGACACAATAGAAGGGTGAAGACTGTAATTTGAACAACTAAAATTATATAATCAACCTCTAAAAGATCATTATTTTTAACTCCAAAAATAAATAGGTAACAAATTTATCAGCACTTAAGTCATATAGGCCTGCTTCTAAGTTACATTTGCATACTTCTCCCTCTGAAATATTTCTTCTAGGTTCTTAGTGCCAGAATGAACTCCTCTAATACTCTGGTTAGGGGTAGTTGTACAGCAATAATGGAAATGGTGCTGGGAGTAATCACAAGTTCAAGAAGCAAAAGTAAAGAATGTAAAAGTGAAAGATCTTCTAGTTACAGCCAATTTTATAAGGAAAAAAAAAGTGTGTTCAAAAGAACAAGTGATTTACAGAGTTACAGAGCTCAGAAAAGAGCCATGAGGAGGACATTCAGTTCTCAGAATGGTACCCTCATTTCATTATGCTGAAGATGGTATTTAAAATACCGTCCAATTTCGTAATAAAATATTCCTAAAGATATCATTCAATGTATAAAAATCATAATAATCTTTAAGATAGATTTTCCCTCTTTTTATAGTAACAGATTTTATTTTGCCAATCCATCCAAATTTTTAAATCCATACATGAGAAAAAGCATTCACTTAAAAAATTTTCAATATCTGAATTATTTGTTGTTTTTTGTTTTAATAGAGCATACTTGTTCTAAAATTATTTCAAACAGTGAGACAGGTATCTCATTTCTTTCATTCTACCTACACTTCTACCCAAATCTTCAAGACCTTCTGTTTTTATTTTATACAAATGGACTCATACTATACAACTTTAGGTTGTCTTTGACATCATTTTAGTACATAAATTCAATCTTAATTTTATATGCTATCAATGGACTAAAAAAAGTAGTTACTGTAACTTACACTTTTAAGGATCTTTTCTATATATTCTTTTAATATCAACAATTTTGGTTTCATATGAATATAGTCCTATAACCAGTAAGTTGATTGGCTTAAGATGCTAAAATAGTCCATATTTAATTTGTCCCAGTAGGCTGCTTGACTTAAATTGATCCTCTAACACCGTCAGTTAAATAAACATAATTACCTGTTTCATCATGGTAGTTCACGGCTTCTGTCTCCATCCATGCATTATCAGTGTTTCGAGGATCGTCAACATATCCCTTATATATCTTTTTTTAGAGGCAGACAAAAAAAAAACGTATAGAGTAAAACAGAAATGGGTAGAGCAGAAGCAAGTTACCTTCATTAGAACCAGCAACGTAAATATCTTGTTCATGCAAAGAAATGTGCATGCAATTAACTGTACACTTAAAATGGTTAAGATGGTAATAAATTATATGTTATGTAATTTTTACCATCATAAAAAAGAAATATAAATACTATAAAATCGTCAACATTATCATTCTCTATGCTTATTTTAAATTTCCCAGGGAACAATATTCTCAAGAATCTTTGAGGCAACATTAAAATTCACAAAACCCTCAACACCTCAGACTCTAATTTCAGAATTTAATAATAATAGTACTTGCAAGTCATATTCATTACATAGTGAGAAGAGGTTGCATTTAATGATTAGTCCTCTGCTGAAAAGTTTGCAAAAGTCCTGCTTAGTGGGAATCAAGATGAAGAGGTGTTCCAACACTTCACTATAAGTTTTACACAATGAAAAGGAGACTGAACACCACAAGTAGACTGTTCTAGACACATTTTCCTCATTGGTTTTAAAAACTGTTAGGTTACATGTCATGTAATAGACTGTGCGTGTATTCCTTAGCTTGAATATTTCTCTATTTGAAAAAATACATTAATGAATAGAGTGGAAATAATAATACTTGGGCCATATGGTTTTTTGAAGTCTTTATAATTTAAGTATTCTCCTGTTTTAATAATTTCTGTGACTACCACTTCAGACATACAAAGATAGATTCTTGTAGTTAAACAAAAGAGATCTATAAACAAAGTAAAAACTAATATTTAAGCTACTAATTCATGAAAAGATTTGGATCAAGTCATCTAACACAAATATGAACCAAAAAACTAGACAACACAAATAAATAATTAAGAACTCCTAACTCTAGAAAGTAAACAAAGCAATGAAACCAGTGTGATGCTAGGTAGTGGGTGGATGTGGAAGAGAACATAAGGGAGATATATGGTAATGGAAAAATAGATAGAAATTCTTTTAATGAAATATATAAATGTGAAAAAAAAGTAATCCAAACAAAAGCCAACAAGAAAGAAAATCTGTCTTTTTCCTTACTATTTTGTGTATCAATACATATACCTTATAAGGTAATTTTTAAATCTTAACAAATAGTTACAAACCAGAGACACTCTGAATAACTTAATTACAAATGTAAACGTTCTTCCAAAAGAGCTGAATTCATGCAAAAGAAACTTTTTAAAGGTTTTCTTTTGGATGGGTGAACTCAGCATCACATAGCTCACACCTTGTCTAAAACAACAACAACAAAAAACCTAAGAGGAAAAAACTGTATAATAAATTACATAATTGACCTAAAGTTAAGTTATAAAACTTGAAGTAGAAATATATGTACAGTGAAGATTTACAATTTAAGTTGTTTTCATGAATATGCATCACAAAGATAAAAAATATCACTTTATTCAGAGACTAATGTACCAGATTTCCAGGTGAACTTTAAGTAATTCTTACTAATGTACAGAACTAAATCCTTTCTAGAAATCATCATTTCTTACCACTAGATGTTCCTGGCTGAAGAGTTTGTGTAACTGTTCCTCTAATTTTCTCTTTTCGGCACTGGATTTCTGTAAGGAGTTGAGAGCTTCCTCACCAAATTCTCTTTTCAGTGTAGCACTGATCTTCTCCCCTGGATCCACCATCCCCTGAGAGTCACATTTTTGTTTTAAAAAAAAAGTAACAAGCTTTAACTCATTCAACTAATATTTATCAAGTGATGCAATGGACAGTTATTATTCTATCTTTTCATAATCATGATCCCCATTCTTCAGTCATATATTCTCTAAATCATTTATTTCTATGAGAAGCAGCCTCTCAGGTATCTCACAGATATCTGACCACAGTAATTAGTCCAGTTAGCCTATGATAAACTGAGCCAATTAGACTCCTTTCCAGCTAAGGAAGGAACTCCTAGAGGCAAGAAAGAATACAAAAGTTGACACCTTCCCCACTGTTTGTTCTATTCCAGCCACACTGACCTCCTTGATTTTCCTACAATGGCCAGACATACTCCCAGCTTAGAGCCTTTAAACCTGCTACTACTTCTGTCCAAGATGCTTTTCTCCTGGTGGCTACATAATCCACTTATTCACCTCCTTCACATCTTTACTCAAATGTTACCTTCTCAGGGAGACCTTCTCTAACCACCCCTGTCTAAAATGGCAAACTCTTGAACACTTCCTAGTCTTCTTCCTTAATACTTATCACCTTTTAACATATAATTATTTATTTATATTACCTGTACCCCCTACTGTAATGTAAGCACCAAGAAAACAGGGATGTCTGTTCATGCTGCTCTGTTGTATCCTCAATGTCTAAATTATTAGTTGATAAAATATATTGATTATATGAATGACTCAAAATATCAAGTGATAAGAGTTCCCTGACCAGAATTTCAAGAGGCAATAAAAATATAAAATCCCATGACAAAGTTATTATTGCATTTTACATTCAGCATGAGAAGTTTGACTGCTTGGCTCATAATAATTAGCCTAGGCTTTATCACAGTCAGCTGAGATGTTCATTTCATTCCACTGTTATCTACCAAAGAAAAAGCCATTCTTGCAAATAGCAGTATATAAAAATTCATCCTCTCATCAAACTACCTCCATTTTACAATATGGCATTAAATATGATAATATTGTGGAATCTTAAAAACTATAAGGAATAGTAATTAAAAGTTTTCTATTTTATCATGTCTGAAGTTATCAGAATTGAACAAAAAATGCTAAAAATATTACCTTGGGCTTAGGGTAGGAGCTGATTTCTGAGATGGGACCCAACATGAGTACCTACATTATACCAGAGGTTTTGTATGCTATCTCTAGTAATCCTAAAAAAACAAATATGATTATCTTTATTGTAAAGATTAGGTTCAGAACTCCCTATCACTCAATTCAAATGGAAAGGCCTAAGTCTAACTCCAAAATCCATGTTCTTTCCCAAGGGTTTTAGATTGAGACTCAGATTCTAACTCTGTATTATCCTACAGTTATCGAAAGTGGCACGTCATTGCAGTGATGAAAGACAAAAGAATTACAAATTGAAGTGGTGAGGAAAGGGGGATAAATGGAGTAGAAAAGACCCACACACAATAATCCTGTGGTAAATAAAGCAACTAAAAAGAACCTAAAACATTAATTTGATTTAATTTTAATGCTCACCCCTGGGATTGCCCATTCTCCACAGTCTTTCCTTTTGATGGCAACAAACTGTAAGATGTTTTTCCCAGAAATGGGGTGGGTGATTTTATTTCCAGTTTTATCCCTTTTCCACCTGTAAATAGTAATGTAAGATCATAATCAACTTAGAACAAAGACCAAGGTTCTATCTCAAGTTTGAGTCAAAGTTATAAAGATGTATCTTTCTTTATGACAGGGTACAGGGTACATATAAATTTACCTAAAATAAGCTTCTTTTACAAAAAAAATGTTTTGTCTCACAAATATGTCTACTTTCCATAAAACATATTGTAGCCTCCATAATGAAAATTCAAAATATAAACAGTTTTTACAGTTTTAAAATAAAACCAAATAAGTTTAAAAGCAGGACAGAATTTAAAAGAAGGGTCAGAAAAGGTTTGTTTTGTCTTGTTTCGAAGTTCACTGATCCTTTTTAAGAATTAAGGCTGTGTAATTGGTAATATTTGCTTTTAGCAGTTCACTTTTTGTTATCAAAAAGCAGATTATATGATACAGGTACAGCAGTTCTCAAAAGTTGTGCTTCTCCATTTTTATGCCCCCTTTCAATTAAAAATATCTCACTAGATATTTTTATCTATCCTTAGTTTAATTTTAAATTTTGAATTAAACTGCATATGGTTTTTTTTAAAAAGTATCAAGGTGATGTTAATTTCAGAATGTATTTTTTTCTAACCACACATTCTTTTCCAGAGATGTTGAAAAATCTTCCCCTCCCCTTCCCTACTCCTACCATATTTACCTCCCTCCATCAAATTTCAAGTATTGTTCTACTAACTCTCTTAGACAAAGGTAAAGATTTTCAACCTTCAATACTAATCTAAAAAAGAAAGCCTATGATCTAATCACTGATCTGTAGGAGACTCAAAATAAATTAGTTTAGATATGAGTTTCCAAATTTCTTTATATAGTGGCTGACTACCATATCTAACCTATAATTCTTCCCCTGGGAGAGCTTATGATCTAGCAATGGAGCTAGACATGTAAGTGAATAATTGTAAGCTGCAGTGACAGATTTTTAGTGCAGTAATTAGAAATGAAAGAATATCCCTGGCTGGTTTAGCTCAGTGGATTGCATGCAAGCCTGTGAACCAGAGGATCACAGTTCGATTCCCACTCAGGGCACGTGCCTGTGTTGTAGGCCAGTTCCCAGCAGGGGACACACGAGAGGCAACCATACGTTGATATTTCATTCCCTCTCTCCTTCCCTTCCCCTCTAAAGATAAATAAAAAAATCTTTAAATAAAAAAGAAATGAAAGAATAATTGGTACAAAAAACAACATCTGGACTTAGGTCAAACTGGAGTCATAAATAAAAATGGCTCACCTCCTCACATAACCACATCAAAATTAACTAAACTAGAACAACAATCATTCAGAGCCAAATTGAGTTGAATAGAAATCCAACGACTATGAAATTTAAAAAACCACATCCATCCAGACTGGTAGAAGGGACAGAGATGCAGTGACATGGTCTGGTCCCACAGGCAAGTGTGGTGAATAAAAACTAGGAAAGGATATCTTGGGAGAGAGGTGTCCCAGCCCCACAACAGGTCCCCCAGCCCAAGGTTCCAAGGTTCCAGTGCCAGGAAGATAAGTCCCCGTAACTTCTGCCTGCAAAAACCAGCAAGGATTAAGTCAGTAGAAGAAATTTCTGAAGTCCCAAGCAGTTTCACCCAAAGACCCTGCACACAGACTTACTCAGACTCACTACCTCTGAGCTCCAGCACCAGGATAGCAACTTGAAAGGTACCAGTGGAAAACAGGATGAAACTTAAGTGCCTGGAATCAAATCAAGAGCTGGGGTACAGCTTTCTCCCAGACAGAAAGGAAGGCAGAGTCCACTGAACCCTCCAACAAACAAGACAGCAGCCTGGTCTTGACTCAGGCTTCACAACTTCCTAAATTCTCTCAAATGAGCAACAGCTGGCCTCAGTGAGCCCTTAGCCCCATACCTCTTGCTAAGAGACCCCAGGCCTGGCACTAGCAAAAACCAGCCTACGTTCATAGCTTGGTTTCACTGGGAACCTCTAAGCCCAGGACAAGTAGCAGCCATCTGCAGATTGTGTTGTAGCTCATGTAAGGTGGCCACAGGCAGAAACAGGTGGGGGTTGACCTTGGCCTGCACCACCTGTGAAACACCAAAGCCTGAGCACCCAATGGACAGCTGCAGACCACATCAGAGTACCACCACCCTGCCCCTGTACAGCTGATCCTCCACAAAGGGCAGAGGTTGGTGGTCAGTGGTCACAGCCAATCCTTGCAGCTGACTGGCCTGGGTAAATCCCTCCCATTGACCTGCCAACAACAGTCAACCTCAGCTACAAGAGACAGGGGTACTTCACCCACATGGAGGGTGCACCTTAAGTACCCAGCTTGGGTGACAGGCAAGGCTGTGACACTGAATACCTACTACATCAGGCCACACTACTAAGAAAGAGTCATAGAAGCTTTACCTAATACATAGAAAACAAACCAAGGGAGGCTGCCAAGTGAGGACACAAAGAAACATGGCTTAAATGAAAGAACAGATCAAAACTCCAGAAAAAAAGAACTAAGCAAAATGGAGATAACCAATCTATCAGATGCAGAGTTCAAAACCCTGTTTATAAGGATGCTTAAGGAACTTAGTGAAAACTTCAGCAAGCATAAAAAAGATCCATCAGAAACAAAGGATACACTAATTGAAAGAAAGAACAATTTACAGGGAAACAACAGTAGAGTGGGTGAAGCCCAAGAATCAATTCAATGTTTTGGAACATGAGGAAGCAAGAAACAACCAATTAGAACAAAAAGAAAAAAGAATCCAAGAAAATAAGGATAGTGTAAGGACACTCTGGGACAATTTCAAGTGTTCCAACATTCACATCGTAGGGGTGCCAGAAGGAGAAGAGAAAGAGCAAGAAATTGGAAATCTATTTGAAAAAATATGAAAGAAAACTTCCCTAATTTGGTAAAGGAAATAGACATGGAAGGCCAGGAAGCACAGAGTTCCAAACAAGATGAATGCAAAGAGGCCCACTGCAAGATACATCATAATTAAAATGTCAAAGGTTAATGTCAGATTGTTCTTAATTTCAATGTCTCCAGTTATATTTTGCTTCCTTTTTTGTTTTGTTGATTAGGTTCCACTTAAAGGTAAGATCATATGGTATTTTTCTTTCACTGCCTGGCTTATTTCACTTAGCATAATGATCTTCAGTTCCATCCATGCTGTCACAAAGGGCAGCTCCTTCTTTCTCTCTGCTGCATAGTATTCCAATGTGTAAATGTACCATAGTTTTTTGATCCATTCATTTACTGATGAGCACTTAGGTTGCTGTGGCTATTGTAAATTGTGCTGCTATGAACACTGGGGAGCACAAGTTCTTACAGATTGGTGTTTCAGGGTTCTTAGGATATAATCTCAGCAACAGAACTGCCAGATCAAAAGGCAGTTCCCTTTTTAGTTTTCTGAGGAAATTCCACACTGTTTTCCACAGTGGCTACACCAGTCTGCATTCCCACCAACAGTGCACTAGGGTTCCCTTTTCTCCACATCCTCTCCAACACTTGTTGTTTGTCAATTTGTTTATGATGGCCATTCTAACCAGTGTAAAGTGGTATCTCATTGTGGTTTTAATTTCCATCTCTCTGATGGTTAGTGATGCTGAGCAACTTTTTATATGTCTCTGGGCCCAATGCATGTCCTTTTTAGAGAAATGTCTGCTCAGGTCCTTTGCCCATTTTTAAATTGGATTGTTTTGTCTTCCTGGTGTGGAGTCATATGAGTTCTTTACATATTTTGGAGATCAAACCCTTCTTTGAGTTACACTTGGCAAGTAAGTTTTCCCATATAGTTGGTTCTCTTTTCATTTTAATGCTGTTTTCCTTAGCCATGCAGAAACTTTTTAATCTGACAGTAACCAGAGGGGAGATAGGAAGAGATAATGGAGGGAAGGGGGTAAGGGTTTTCAGGAACAACTATAAAGGACGCATGGATAAAACCAAGGGGGGGAGGGTGGAAGCAAAAGAAGGAGGTAGGTTTGGCTGGGGTGGGGGGATAGTGGTGGGAGGTAAATGTAGACAACTATAATTGAACAACAATAAAATAATTTTTTAAAAAAGAAGAAGCTAGAATAAAAAACAATGAATCAAATCCAAATAAATATGAGAAAATAAAGAACCATGAATCAATGAAAAAAGAGGTTATAATACCTAAGAGGTTGTTTTTTTGCCTATTCAAGAAAAGAGAGTACACAAATTACCAACAGTAAGACTGAAAGGGGAACATCACGTTAGAACCTATAGACATTAAAAATTTAATGAGACGATATTAGAAATTAGTTAAGCCTATAATGAGATATTTCAATGAAAAGATATGGGCAAGTTTTTTAAAAACTTACTAAAAGTGACATGAGATGTGAAATCTTATTAGTCCTGTATGTCTACCAAAGTAATTGAGTCTATAATTTAAAACTTTCCTACAAAAAAGAGGAAGGGCCATCAAGGAACATGTATAAAGGACCCACGGACAAAGACAATGGTGCGGGGGGAGAACTGAATACGGGAGGTCGGGGTGGGTAGGACTGAGGACAGTAGTGGGGAAGAAATGGGGACCACTGTAACTGAACAATAAAAAAATACTTTCCTACAGAGAAAAAAGTTAAATAAAGAAAATGTTAAAGGTTAAAGATAAAGAGAAAATCTTAAAAGGATCAAGAGAAAAGAAGTTAGTCACCTACAGGGGAGTTCCCATAACACTGTCAGCTGATTTCCCAAAAGAAACTTTGCAGGCTAGAAAGGAGTGGCAAGAAATATTCGAAGTCATGAAAAGTGGAATGCCCTACCCAGCAAAGCTATCATTTAGAATCAAAGCGCAGATAAAGTCCTTCCCAGACAAGAAAAAGCTAAAGGAGTTCATCATCACTAAACCATTATTATATGAAATGTTAAAGGGACTCATTTAAGAAAAAAGATCAAAAGTATGAACAATAAAATGGCAAAAAATACATTATCTATCAAAAGTTGAATCTAATAAAGAAGTTAAGCAGAATCATGGATACGGAGAGCATTTCGATGGTTGCCAGATGGGAGGGAGATAGTTGCCAGGTGCGGGGGGAGGGGTGAAGATTTAAGGGAACTAAGAAATACAAACTGGTAGTTACAGCCATGGGGATGTAAAGTATGGTATAGGAAATGGAGTAGCCACAGAACTTGCATGCATGACCCATGGACATAAACAAAGGTGTGGGGATTACCTGAGGATACAAGGGGTGCTGGGTGGAGGAGGGCAAAGGGGAAAAAATTAGGACAACTATAATAGTATAATCAACAAAATTATAATTAAAAAGACAACATCTGTTTTTAAGAATTCCAGACCGAAACAAATCATAAGTAAGGGTCAAGGTTGTAATATAAAATAACATGTTCAACACACAGAGTTCCTAGCTTGTTGCTCTTTAAAAAAAAATTATTTGGCCCTGGCTGGTGTAGCTCAGTGAATTGAGTGTGGGCCTGCAAACCACAGGATCATGGTTTGATTCCCAGTCAGGGCACATGCCTGGGTTGCAGGCCAGTTCTCAGCAGGGGACACATGAGAGGCAACCATACATTGATATTTCTCTCCCTCTCTCCTTCCCTTCCCCTCTAAAGATAAATGAATATAATCTTTTTAAAAATAATAAAAAATTATTTGTTTACAGTGTCTTTCACTGAATGAAAACAGAAAAATAAAATATGGTTAAAAATTGAATGTGTATGTGAAGTCTGGCAATATGAGCATCAGTGAGGGAAAGATTAGGGAAGAGGCTGGAAAAGTTAGGAAAAGAAATTATCAAATTCATAAGCTTACAGAGCCAGAAGATATCTTTAAGCTCGGTAAGCCATAAGCAATTTAGATTTTAGAAAGCTCACTCCCTTTGACAAAAGTATGTGGGTTATTTGAGAGGGAAGCAGGACTGGAGGCAAGAAGACCAGCTGGAATACTGCTACCAGGATCCAGATACAAGCTGATGAGAGACAGCTAAAGGCAGACACAGTGAGAATGGAAAGAAGGCAGGTTACTTTTATTACTTTTTTTTTTTTTACTTTTTTAAAGATTTATTTATTTTTAAACAGAGGGGAAGGGAGGGAGAGAGAGAAAGAAACGTCAGTGTGTGGTTTCCTCTTGTACACCCCCTACTGGAGACCTGGCCTGTAACCCAGGCATGTGCCCTGACTGGGAATCGAACCAGCAACCCTTTGGTCCACAGGCTAGCACTCAATCCACTAGACACACAAGCCGGGGCAACTTTCATTTATTAAAGATAATTTATATAGCATTTATTATGTACCTGATACTGTAGTAAGTGCTTTAAAATACCCATTTGAGCCTCAAAATAACCCTGTTTAGTAGCTATATTACTGTTTTTATTTTACAGATATGGAAAATGAGGCACAGAGAAGTGAAACTTGTCCAAGATTTCAGTGTGAATAAGTTGTATAAACAAAGATTTGAACCCAGGCAATCTGGTTCAGGAATCTGCACTACACTATTTTACTTAAAGAAACAGAATATTTACAGGGATATTTACAGAGAGAAAGGATAAGAAGAAGGTGAATGATGGCTCTGTCCACTCACAAACATTTACTGGCAACTGTTACATACAACAAAAACTGTAGCTTCACACATACCCCATCACTGTAATTTCACATAAAGTCCTTTCAACATATAGATTTTGTGTGTATACATAGTGTATATGGATGTCTCTATGTGTATGTATAAATACATGTGTGTATAAAACATGTATATATGTAAACACAAGGTTACAGTCTGTACTTTTCCAATCACTTAGCTCTCTGCTACTAAAATGGTTTCTTACTACTTACCTAGTTATGATGGGATCTGCAGCATGATTTGGGCCCCATCGCCCCAAAAGCCCTCGGCCAACTAATCCTGTCCGTCCTGCAGGATTTCTGGAAAAACAAAAAACAAAACCAACTGCATGGGTTCATCTTTTCTAATGCAACTTGATATGGCCGAATAAAGGGTAGCAATATCAATAAAAGAAATTAGTATCTCCACCTAAACCCAGTAGCACTATCACATATCTAGCACTGAAAGCACATATTTCCTTCTACTGTTATTTAACTTTTCTTTTGTGCGTGTCTTAAGCTCTGGGCTTGATCCAGGTGCAGGATCTCATTTCCAAAGCTGTTCTACAATTTAAGAATTTGTTTGTTTTTGCATGTACTCCTAAATACAGACTAAAGCCTTACTGAACTCCTAAATCTTGAAGGATAAGAGGCTCTGCACCTAATCATCCATCTCTATTACAGCAAAAATTTACTCCAGACTCTCACACTTGTCTTCACTTTCTCATCACCCTCTCTTTCTGCTCCACTCTCCCAGAACCCTTCCCATCAAAATATTTTTTGTTACATTTTACAGTCCATTTTTCATCAGTGGGTTCTGAATTTTTATTATTAGTAATACATATTTTATAGCATATAATGAGGTAGTAGTAAAATTTCAAGTACTTCAAGTATTCACTTGTTAAAGAAAACAATTTTATATAAAAATGCCAACTTGCTATTTAATCCAATGCCATAACCCAATAAAAAGTCTGACAGGTAAACATAGGATTCATGCCTGAATGTTTTTCTTTCCATCAATATTTTGTTACATGTTCAACTTTCATCATTATGTGTCAGTAAAACACCCCAATCTGCAACCTTACCTATTTAAGGCTGTATCTTTTCTCCTCCCAGTAGGTAAGAGTAACTTGCCAAAATTTTTGTTTCAGACATTGCTTTTTATTCTGGTCTTCCACATGACTGTTATTAAAGTTAAATGAATTTTTATGTTGTTTTGTACTAAACTTATGAATATTTCAGCACTGTGGAATTGTATACCTGAAACCTATTATAATTTTATTAGTCAATGTCCCCCTAGTAAATTCAATTTTAAAGAAAAGAGAGAAATATTTCAGCAAGACTTCAGATAAAGACAGAAAGACACCTGGCCAGGTGACAATAATTCTACTTTTGAAATTCACAGGAGGGGCAGGGTTTTATTCCACGTAACGATTTACCCCTGAACACAAATAATCAAAGCCAATATATTAAGAAACAGAATGTAACCCTGGCTGGGTGGCTCAGTTGGTTGGAGCATCATCCCACACACCAAAAGGCTGTGGGTTCAATCCCCAGTCAGGGCACATACAGAAGGCAACTGATCAATGTTTCTCTTTCACATCAATTATCTATCTATCTATCTATCTATCTATCTATCTATCTATCTATCTCTATGTCTATCTCTGTCTATCTCTATGTCTATCTCTCTCTCTCTCACTTTCTCTGCCCAACCCCCAACTCACCCCATCCTTTCTCTCTAAAAATCAATCCACACATCCTCAGGTGAGGGGTAGAAAATAATAATAATAAAAAATTTTAAAAACAGAATGTTCATTTTTGAGATATCTATACCTGTAACTTGTAAACTAGAGGTTTTGAAAAAGACATATAGACTATCCTGTAGCCTCAGAAGCAGAGACAGTTGTTTACAGAGGAGAAATGAAGGCAACATATAAAGAAAAGCAAAATTGAGGGAGAATGAGTCCTGATGATTTTCCAGTATTACCCATTCCTAAAGTTGGCTAAATTTCTGCTTTGGGCTCCTTGAGATGACCGCACAGGCCTGGAGTACAGATAAGCCTCACTTTTTGCTTTAGGCAAGCTAGAGTTGGTTTCTATTAGTTCAAGAGTCTGGACTAAAGCAATATGCTATCTTGCCTTTGCTGCCTATCCTTTTATATTCGTGCATATCTTTTAATATATTTTACCAATAAAAGAACCTAAGAAATAAGTCAAATACAAGGACAGTCTGACTTAAAAAGATCCAATAACACAGAAAGGTAAATAAGTTATCAACAAAGAAAGAAGTTAGCACCTAAATGACCAGACTGCAGTGAGATGAGTACCATCAATTTCCTTCTCCCAGAGGAACTAAGAAAATAAATTGCAACATCTTTACAAGATAAGAACCATGGTTACCAATCTGTGGGCCTTCCTTTGTTTTATTTGGGGCATGCTAATTTTTACATTTCTTTCAAACTTTTATAATGTCTTCTTAAGGAAAATGGAAGAGTTAGAGTAAATTTTTAGAGTTATGTAGTTAAAATCATTTCTAAAACTACAGAAAATTCTTGGTATTATATCACTGAGTTATTTTTAGCTTTGCTTTTATGTTTGGACAATTCTTATTTAAGGAATTATCACATTTAATAAACAAATACTTAACATACAATTTTCATTCCTTTCTCTGTTAACATAATCAATTGATTGTTTCTATTTCAAGGTGGGGTTACCAAAAGATGCATTCAAATCCTGCCTCTGCCACTTATGAAATATATGCAATTGCTTACATCCTCTCTCTTTATCTATAAATGGAACTAGAAATATCTACCCACACTTATTGTGACGAATTAATTACATCATATATATAAATACTCTTGTACAATGTCTTGCAAATACGAGCACTCAGTAAGTGTTACTTATAGTTTCTACCTTTTGAAGACCCATTATTGTAGGATGTTCCACTCCCAGTACCTACCTAGGTCTTCCATTTTCAATCTCATACAGGCCATTCTGGCTCTTTCTCTCAACATGCCCATCTTTTTCATTAAACTTGGGAGAAAAGGTACTTTCACTGAAATGAGAATACCAATAAGAAATAATGGTCAATACGACCAACTAATAATGTCAGTTAATCTGTTGTGCCCCTGAAACTAAAAATTTTAAGGCTTAGTTTTAATTTACATATCCATTTCACTCCTTCAAAATAGTTTCTCAGAAAAAAAATCTGTTAACCAAAACACCCTAAGGATAGGTATATAACCCTTCTGGAAAGAAATAAAGGCAGAAGAACTAGACTTCCTCCCACATACTACAAAAAGTTTATATTATTATTAGCAAGAAGGAATTGTCTGCAGGCAAATTATGTCAATTATCAGTTTTTATTTTGGGGTTCCAAAAATAAGCTCTTACATATAGATGGAGACTAAAGAGATATGAAAATATCACTAAGTGCAATCAGTGATCCTGGATCGGTTCCTGAACCATAAAGGAAAATAAAATTTCAGGACAAGTGGTAAAATTTGAATAGGGTTGTATAAATAATTTTAAAAAGTGATATAAACACTTCTGCCAAGATGGAGGCGTAGGTGGAAACACTCTGCCTTCTCCCACAACCAAGTTTAAAGACAACAAAGTTTTAGTAAAACAAATACGCAGCCATAACACAGAAAATTAAACTACCGAAGTCCGACAACAAGGAACCCTTCAGCTATCTTCCTTCTGATATCTTGATGTTTCTACTATCTCAAAGTAATTTTAATTTCTTCAAATGTACACTGATTATAATTTTTATCAAAGTAAACCCACAAAACAGTGAATTTAGCCCACAAACTTCATAATACACATAAGTAAATTAAAATAGATATAATTTGCTGACAATATTCTAGATCTTAATCTGGGTATTAGTTACAGAGCTATATAAACATAAAATTTTACTCGACTGTACCTGCACACTTAAAAAATATGCACTTTTCTGCATTTGTTAGACCAATAAAAATATTCTTAAAACAGACATAAATAAACTGTTTTCCTCACCCTTATGAAATCACTGATATAACTGCACTGTAAGTGAATAAAGAGCTGTATAGCACTGGATAGTTCATGGATAATTCTGACATGTTTCACTTTTTTCTTGCCTTAACTCCAGAAATTGAGCATAGAAATATCTGTGCTCTGTTTTGGGAATAATTTCCAATTTGAATAATCTATACATTCTCTCAAGACTGCTAACCAATCTTCCATCTAACACACAAATAAAGATAATTAAATGATTAAAGTCATGAAATTATAAAACCAGAATTACAATGCTCTTGGGAATCCAGAAATTCACCTATAAAATAAAACAGCACAAACGTAATTATAATTAAAGCATTAATGTTGTAATAAAGCTTGATTTAGATGGTGATACATATTTAAATTTTAAAAACTGAATAAAAAGAAAACATATTCAATCTTCCTCTATTTACTCTAATATAGCACCTCTGCCAATGTCATTAATTGTAATTGTGCATAATGTACATTTATAATTATATAAATATGTACATCCTCTAACGTGGGGGAAATGGAACATTTAAAGGTAGTAATTTCCTCACAGTTTAACTTCATTATTAATTAACAATCCAAGCACTATCATTAAGTTACAAACACATCTTCAGATAAAATAAGGGCACTGTGGGGCAAAATCAAGTGACAGGAATAAGTCCGTGATAAAGTTTAATAACCAATGAACTAATACTGGATCTATCCAACTAGTGAAATGTTTTACTTAACTGACTAAATAATGTCTTAAAAGCACTATGATTTACAATAAATTTACCCAGTTAAATGAAACTTACACAATGGTTCTAAAACTAGGCAGTTTAACAGCAGAGTATTTAAGAGCACAAATTCTAGAGTAAAAATGAGTTCAAGTCCAAGCTATCCTATCTACTAACTCTGTGACCATGTGCAAAGGACAAACTTACAGAGCTTCCATTTTTTGTGTTTTGTTTTTCTATGAAGTACAAATAACAACCCTGTTTGCCTTTCAGAATACTTATAATAAAATAAAATAATGTTTATAAAACATTTAGTACAGTGCCTAGCTCATAGGTAGTACACTATATTTATTAAAAGGAATATAAATAAAAAATGCAAATCAATGCAGCACTTTAATGACTTTAGTCAAAGCATTTTTGCTTGCTATTTTTGTCTTCCTCTTTCTGTCTTTTATCAATCCCTTTTCTATTTTTTCACACCAGTCTAATTTTTTCATCATCCTGTTCTTAGTAATTTGAAAAATATTTTCAGTATTTCAAATACAAGTCCAGCTATGTTGGAAAACAACCACAAAAGATGTTCCACTTGTCATTTCAAAAAACAAGAAACTCCCTAGCAAAATAAATATACCCATTTGAAATAATCATCCTAAACCCCCAAAAGAATAAAAGAAAATGGACTGTCTAGCTTTGGCAAGAGTTCAAGCAAATATGGAAACTAAGTTATAACAAAATCAAGCACTAGATAAAAATATTTCAGTTGTCAAAATAATAATTTACAAATGATTTACCATTACTTTCTGTAAAAGTCTTACACCCAACTAATGCCAGCTAATTTACTCACCTGATCTGAGGATCTGCCCACCTAGGTCCGGCCAAGACAGAGAGTGCAGTGTATTCCACAGGATTATAGTCTTGCCACTCAACAAGCCAGCCTACTTTCTCATTAGGAACCTGGCTGCGTTGAACTTTTGAACCTGGGTAAGGAGATGTCCTAGCCTTGTTGTGGGAATTCTCTTTGGCACCATTAGAAGCAGACATGATTGTGGAGTTAAGATGAAATCCACAGGATGAAAGTGAATTTCTGGAAGGGGAATAAAAAAGAATATTTAAATAAGAACCAAAACAGAAAACAGTAAAAAACCTAATTCAAAAACCAAAAACATACTTTTCCATTTCAAAGAGTTAAAATTCAAACTTGAGGCATATTAATATATATGCCCAACATCTGTGAAAGATTATTTTCAAATATGAAAATTTGGAAAATATTGCTAAACCTTATTAATTGGAAACTACAATGAATTTCTTTTACTGGAGAAAAAAAGAACAGAAGTTTAACTTTGATTAGCACAAAAGTTGGGGAAGGAAAGTTTGTCATAAAAATTCAACCACAAAAACAAATGTAGAAGACTATTTAAGCCTGCATGAAGGAATACGTTTCTACAGTCTAACAGTACATGTGTAAAATGTATGGCAAAAATAGCACACAAAAAAATAACTGGAAAATAGAAATAGACTGTTATAAGGGTCTGATAAATATACAAACTTTAGAGTAAACTTCAGAGTAAAATTAAGAGGCATAAATCCGAAATAATTAGATAACAGACAAAAAAAACGACTGAGCCTTAACCTTTATCTCACAGCATTAACAATTTTTCATGTCTCCTCCCTCCCATTATTCTGAAAATAAAGATTAAAATTCCTAACGACCCTAAATTAGGACATCTAAAGTAGAAAAGGAAATTTTGAGAACATGGTAAACTGATGACAGCCCCAGCTCCCTGCCCCTGCTCTCCCAATACCAACCTGCCTTTCTTGAGACAAACAGTCAATGGGACAACACCAACTTGATGGAATAATGAAATAAGTTGCTATCACATGCCTCCTGATACCACACACTGAGAACTACATGATCACTTCTGACATATTCCTTACAAGAGTATCTTACCAGAGTCTAGGCATAAGAAACCACAGAACATACTCTGGTAAAGGACATCTTACAGAATAAAAATCTTCACTCTAAACTGGTAAGGTCATGAAAGATGAACTTAGATGAGCTCTTACATATAGATGGAGACTAAAGAGATAGGAAAATATCACTAAGTGCAATCAGTGATCCTGGATCGGTTCCTGAACCATAAAGGAAAATAAAATTTCAGGACAAGTGGTAAAATTTGAATAGGGTTGTATAAATAATTTTAAAAAGTGATATAAACACTTCTGCCAAGATGGAGGCGTAGGTGGAAACACTCTGCCTTCTCCCACAATCAAGTTTAAAGACAACAAAGTTTTAGTAAAACAAATACGCAGCCATAACACAGAAAATTAAACTACCGAAGTCCGACAACAAGGAACCCTTCAGCTAGACTGGTAAGAGGGGCGGAGCCAGTGGCTTGCAGAGCAGGGTTGTGCAGGAAAACTCAGCCAGACGACCCAGGCCCACGGTCAGCAGTTGGTGGATCCCAGGCGTGGGGCTGGGACGGGCAGACCCAGTGAGGGCGCAACGTGGCAGGCTGACCGCGGTCACACATTTGTGTGCAGATAAAACAGCGAAGGAGCAAGCAGTGAGACAGACCGTGCAGGCCCCAGCAGTGGGAAGCAGCAGAGGGGACTGCCATTGCCCCGCTTTGACCCCATCCCCACATACAGCATCACAACCCAGCGACCTGGGTGGCCCCACCCTGGTGAACACCTAAGGCTCCACTCCTCATAGGTAATGGGCGCAAACAGACCAAACGTGGCTCAAGAAGAACTCAAAGTCCCAGAGCCCATAACTCTAAGCAACCAAGAAATAGCCAACCTATCAGAGGCACAGTTCAAAACGCTGGTGATCAGGATGCTCAGACAACTGGTTGATTTTAGCCACAAATCAGAGGAACATATGAAGGCTAAACTAATTGAAATGAATGGAAATGCACAGGAAACCAATAGTGATGGAAAGGAAACTGGGACTCAAATCAAGGGAGTGGACCAGAAGGAAGAAAAAAATGACCAAACAGAAAAGAATGAAGAAACAAGAATTCAACCCTGGCTTGTGTAGCTCAGTGGATTGAGCATGGGCCTGCGAACCAGAGGATCGCGGTTCGATTCCCAGTCAAGGCACATGTTTGGGTTGCAGGCCAGTTCCCTGCAGGCCAGTTCCCAGCAGGGGATGCACTAGAGGCAACCATACATTGATGTTTCTCTCCCTCTCTCCTTCCCCTCTAAAGATAAATAAATAAATCTTAAAAAAAGAGAGAGAAAGAAAAAAAGAAGAAACAAGAATTCAAAAAAATGTGGGGAGGCTTAGGAACTTTCAGGACATCTTTAAATGCTCCAACATCCGAATTATAGGGGTACCAGAAGGGGAAGAGGAACAGCCACAAGTGGAAAACTTATTTGAACAAATAATAAAGGAGAACTTCCCCAATCTGGCAAAGGAAATAGACTTCCAGGAAATCCAGGAAGCTCAGAGAGTCCCAAACAAGGTGGACCCAAAAAGAAACACACCAAGGCACATCATCATTACATTAGCCAAGATTAAAATGAAGGAGAGAATCCTAGAAGCAGCAAGAGATAAGGGGACAGTCACCTAAAAAGGACCTCCCATCAGAATGTCAACTGATTTCTCAAAAGAGACCTTACAGGCAAGAAGGGGCTGGAAAGAGGTATTCCAAGTCATGAAATCCAAAGACCTACATCCAAGATTGCTCTATCCAGCAAAGCTTTCATTTAGAATGGAAGGGCAGATAAAGTGCTTCTCAGATAAGATCAAATTCAAGGAGTTCATCATCACCAAGCCCTTATTATATGAAATGTTAAAGGGACTTATCTAAGAAAAAGAAGTTAAAAAAACATGAACAGTGAAAGGACAGCAAACTCACAGTTCTTAACACCCACACCTAAAACAAAAGCAAACTAAGAGGACAGCTAGATCAGGAGCAGAACCATAGAAATGAAGATCACATGGAGAGTTAGCAACAGGGGAGTGGGAGGAGGAGGTACAGAAAATAAGAAGCATAGATGGTAGGTAGAAAATAGATAGGGGGGAGGGCAAGAATAGTATAGGAAATATAGAATATAAAGAGCTTGAGACACGTGGTCATAACTAAAGGGGGGAATGGTGGGGGAGCGGGTGCAAGGTGGAGAATGAAGGGAGAAATAGAACTGTAAGGGCATAATCAATAAAATTTTAAAAATACATAAAATTTTTTAAAAAGTGATACAAAAACCTTAATTATTTCCTTCCAACAAAGAAAAGCTCAGGACCACATAGTTTCACTGGTAAATTCTACTAAACATTTAAAGAAGAATCAACATTCCTCAAACTCTTCTGAATACTGAAGAGGAGGAAATATATCCAAGTTCTTTCTACGTAGCATTATTAACTTGATATTAAAACTAGGCAGAGACACAACCAGAATATTACAGACCAATATCCCCAGATGCATGTCAATTGCAAAAATCCTCAACAAAGTAATAGCAAAGAGAATTCAACATTATATTAAAAGTATTATTTTAAAAAAAGTATTATACACCATGACTAAATGGGATTTATTCCTGGAGTGCAAAGGTAGTTTAACATACAAAAATCAATCAATTTAATACACCACTTAAAGAGAATGAAGAAACAAATGATCATCTCAATTGATGTGGAAAGTCTTGATCAAATTTCAACTCCTTATCATGATAAGCACATTCAACAAACTAAGAATAAAAGGAAACTATCTCAATATAATAAAGGCTGATACACAAAAAGCCCACATCTTTTTGGTTTGATGATGAAAGACTGAATGCTTTTCCTCTAAGATCAGGAACAAGGGACCCTAAATAACCAAAACAATGGTTATTTCTTTTCTTGAAAAAGAAAAACAAAGTTGGAGGGCTCTCAATTCTTGATTTAAAACTTACTACAAAGCTATAGTAATGAGAACAGTGTAGTACCAGAATAAAGACATATGGACCAATGGAATAGAACAGAAAGCCCAGGCACAAACCCTAACATATACAGTCATATGCTTTTCGACAGTGATGCCAATATCATTCAATGGGGAAAGATAGTCTTTTCAACAAAGGGTGCTGAGAAAGTTAGATATCCACAAGCACATGGTTGAAGACAGACCCTTACCTGACAGTATATACAAACATTAACTCAAAATGGATCCAAAATCCAAACATGAGACCTGAAAATATAACTCTTAGAAGAAAACATACAAGGAAAATTTCATGACATTTTTCCAAAGAAGACCTACAGATGGACAACATATACGTGAAAGTTACTCAATATCACTCATCAGGGAAATGCGAATCAAAATGAAGAGAGGTATCACCTCACACCTGTAAGAATGGCTATTATCAAAACACAAGAAATAACAAGTGATGGCAAGGATATGGAGAAAAGGGAACCCTTGTACATTGTTAGTAGAAATGTAATTTGGTACAGAAGGTATGGAAAACACTATGGAGGTTCCTCAAAAAACTGCAAATGCAACTACCATATGATCCAGCAATTTCATGTGTAGGTATTTACACTGATTTGAAAAGGTATACCCAACCCCATTTTCACTGAAGCATTATTTACAATAGCCAAGATATAGAAACAACCTAAGTATCTATCAATGGATAAATGCATACAGAAAATATTCCATACACAACAGAGTATGATTTGACCATCAAAAATGAAATCTTGCCATTTGCCATAACATAGATAGACTTTACGGGCATTATGCTAAAATAAGTCAGACAGAGAAGGATAAATACTACATGATCTCACTTATATATGAAATCTAAGAAAACAAGCAAACAAAAAACCCCAAGCTCATATAGAGAAAAGATTGGTAATTGCCAGAGGTGAGATTGAAGGGGGCAATGGATGGCTACAAAATAAGTAAAAGGAGTCATAAAGTATTAACTTCCAGCTATAAAATAAGTCATGGGGATATAATGTACAGCTTGGCCACCATCGTGAATAATACTGTATTGCATATTTGAAAGTTGCTAATACAGTAACTCTAAAAAGTTCCTATCATAAGAAAAAAAATTCTATAACTCTTTGGTGACAGATGTTAACTAGACTTGTGATGATCATTTTGCAATATATATGAA